GTGTCTTCTTTCTTACTGACTGCTGAGCTTTTGTGTCGAAACGGAATTCGCGCATAAACGGTAGAATTTTGGGTGAGTTCAGAATACATTTTACTTATGTTTGCCGGTGACAATCCCGAAGGAATGTACCGCTGGTATGGATAGGGCGCTTGGTGGACTAGATCGTGAGCCCTAACCTTGAACCGCGCTCAGGCCTTAGGAGACGACGATTTTGTCGAAACGTTAGGCTGGTTGAATGAAAACAGACTTTGTTTCAACGGAAGAAGTGACGTCTGCAACAGATGCACAACATTTGCGTTACCAGTGCTCATGCACGGATTTGAGGTGACGCAGGCTAGTTTTTTTCAATATAGGGAAGGCTATCTGGAATGATTAAAACTTGATCTCCGTTTTTCTGGCTGTGCTAGTGAAAGACCTTGCAGTGTCATGCATTCTAGACGACGCCATACCCAAAAAATGGATGAACAGCCGCACATTATGCCGAAGTTCTCGAATGAAATGAGCACATTTCACGTGCTATTCCTTACGCTGTTCCCAGAAATGAGCCAATGTGAGCATGTTGAAGGTCATCGTAGGCAGAAATGTGGCCAAGGATATCATGCCACTGTTCGCGTCTCACGATGCTCCTCCAGAAACGTATCGGTGTTTCAAATGACGTCAATTCAAACCGTTTGAAGATGTTTCGTTGAGAAAATTCATCAAATTGATGGGAAATATTCGCATATTGCGCTCACATTGCTGTATTACATCCACGCCCATGTCATTCGTCAATCTCTTTCCGAACGTTTATAGGGATTTTTGTAGATTTTTGATTGTTATGGTACCATTCATACGCAATACGACAACAGAAGCTAGGGATATAAGGGAGTGTCGGAAAGGAGGTTCTGAAATGCCCTCTCTACTCTTCATCTGCCTGAAAGCACTCTGCCATTTCTTGGTAAACCTGCCAAGGCGATCCCCTCTTTGAAGTAAAGTAAAACTATGATATGAAAAATTGTCACATCCTTACCTGTGCTTGCGGTCGCCACTCTATGACATTTGTACTCCTGAGCCAGAACTAGGGCCGGTTATGGTTCTTGGAAGAATGACTCAAATCAGCAAACAACCACAGCTCACTTTGGTAATGACACCCGTTTTCGAACTTTAGAGATCCTTTCGACTTCCTTTCGACTTCGATTCCTTTCTATATTTTGAATGGGTATCACCATTCATTCTGAGTCAGTTTGTCACGATAGGAAACCTATAGGTATACCAGCAGTCTTGATCAGCATCTCGGCTTTTTTATTCAGCCTAGATGCAGTTGGATTCTTTTTCGGAAAGCTCAGTAGCATTGCATCCTAGTTCGGTTGGGAAAGATGCAATTCCAGAATGAAGGTCATTCTCATCGTTTTTGCGGTAGCCGCAGCTGTTCACGGACTGGATTCTAAGTGGAAATATGGGGACCCCATCGGACCACTGATCCCACCATCGTTGCTCCATCGCTTAGAATCAGGTAAAGAGTCTGCAAATGAAGCGAGTACCTAAGGACCTAGTGGAAGAGCTAAAACTGCAAGAAAATGTCTAAGAGGGGGTTCACTAAATTATTCAAGAAAGAAGAAGTCCCGTAGTTGGAAGTTTCTGTTTTTTTTTGTCAGAGCGCCACCGGGAGCAGCACGAAAATCGAGAGCACCACGAGGATGCATCGGTTTCCGGATTTTTCAAAAAGTCACCACCTGGAACTCCACGAAAAACGTGAACAAGTTGAAGAAAAGCCTGAAGCACTTAAGAACCACGAAGGTAAGGTGTATTACATTGATTATCTCAAAGAGTTCTAGCGAGGATTTTCGTAACTTTAATCGTCTACCCTTCAGAAAGGCACCACGAGCACCATCGCGAAAAGCGAGGCGTTTTTGATATAGAAGAAGAGCCGCTTGAAACTCATGAAGGTAGATGGTCTATTGAAGCACTTCTAAAAGGAGAATGGTACAATAATGAAATGTTTTGATGTTTTTACCCTTCCAGGAAAACACCACAACGAACATCACGAAAGAAAGCATATTGAAGAGAAAGAAGAAGCGGGTAAATTCCACGAAGGTGAGCTGACGAGTTATATCCTAAGATAACTGCAACTACTGGGCTTCGTAATTCAAACCCCTAATTATCACAGAGGCGGAAGCGGTGTATTGGGAAGTGCCCACTTACCAAACGGTCTGGATATCAAATCCTGGTCAACCAAGCCTTTCATCCCTCCGGGGTCGGATAATTGGTACCAGACTTGTCTGGGAGGATAAAAAAACACTGACTTGTACATCGGCTGGCCCCCGCAAGTCATTGTATAGGCCACATCGCATTCAAACGCCACTACGAATGTACAAATGGAAGTAGAATGCGTGCCGCATCCCAAAGGGATTGGTCAACGGCTTTATCCTTTATCCCTTAATTATCACAAGGGTTCCGAATTGTTTACGCAACAGTGCTCACTTGAGCGGCAATCGATCCCATAATGTACTACTTTATCGGAGTGGTTTATTTGCAGCCAGTAGTGATAACGCCAAACCCTACTTCTTTTGATAGCAATTTCAATCGTGCTACCGATTGCATCATCGGGGGCAGCTTTTAATCCTAATTCAACAGCCTCTATAACGCGGTCAGACGTTAAATAGAGGCATCTACCACAGCACCAGAAGCCTTAGCAAATCTTTAGGTTATCGAGATTCCTTATCCTGCAATATTTAGAGAGAGTCCATAACACAAACAGCACACAAACAGCTAAGGTAGCAATAAAGGACGGCGTGTTTCAGAGAAGCACTATAGGAACCTCCACGAAAAACGAAAGCATTTTTTGGGGGAGGGGGGACGGGGGAAAAAATAAGAAAAACCTAAAGGAGTTATGTGAGGTTAGGCGGATAGATGATTGGGAAATCTCGGGAAGGTGAAGTATTTTTTTTCACTATGACTCATTCCTTACAGAGAGGCACCACAGGAAACATCACGAAGAAAGAGAGCATGAGGAAGAGAAAAAGGAACCCAAGTTTATGCATGAAGGTTTGTTTGGAGGTGCTCAACGAAAAACCTTGGAAAGGTGAAGTGATCTGTTCCCCCACCATGACTCATTCCTTACAGAGAGGCACCACAGGAAACATCGCGAAGGAAGAGAACATGAGGAAGAGGAGGACGAACCCAAGTTCATGCATGAAGGTGGGTTAAGAGACGATCAAGGAGGAATCTTGGAAAGGCGAAGCGATGTGTTATCTCACTATGGACCAATCCTTACAGAGAGACATCATCCAAGACACCACGAATCGAGACAACATGAGGAAGAGGAGGACGAACCCAAGTTCATGCATGAAGGTGGGTTAAGAGACGATCAAGGAGGAATCTTGGAAAGGCGAAGCGATGTGTTATCTCACTATGGACCAATCCTTACAGAGAGACATCATCCAAGACACCACGAATCGAGACAACATGAGGAAGAGGAGGACGAACCCAAGTTCATGCATGAAGGTGGGTTAAGAGACGATCAAGGAGGAATCTTGGAAAGGCGAAGCGATGTGTTATCTCACTATGGACCAATCCTTACAGAGAGACATCATCCAAGACACCACGAATCGAGACAACATGAGGAAGAGGAGGACGAACCCAAGTTCATGCATGAAGGTGGGTTAAGAGACGATCAAGGAGGAATCTTGGAAAGGCGAAGCGATGTGTTATCTCACTATGACTCATTCCTTACAGAGAGGCACCACAGGAAACATCACGAAGGAAGAGAACATGAGGAAGAGGAAGAAGAACCCAAGTTCATGCATGAAGGTGGGTTAGGAGACGATCAAGGAGGAAATCTTGGAAAGGCGAAGCGATGTGTTATCTCACTATGGACCAATCCTTACAGAGAGACATCATCCAAGACACCACGAATCGAGACAACATGAGGAAGAGGAGGACGAACCCAAGTTCATGCATGAAGGTGGGTTAAGAGACGATCAAGGAGGAATCTTGGAAAGGCGAAGCGATGTGTTATCTCACTATGGACCAATCCTTACAGAGAGACATCATCCAAGACACCACGAATCGAGACAACATGAGGAAGAGGAGGACGAACCCAAGTTCATGCATGAAGGTGGGTTAGGAGACGATCAAGGAGGAATCTTGGAAAGGCGAAGCGATGTGTTATCTCACTATGGACCAATCCTTACAGAGAGACATCATCCAAGACACCACGAATCGAGACAACATGAGGAAGAGGAGGACGAACCCAAGTTCATGCATGAAGGTGGGTTAAGAGACGATCAAGGAGGAATCTTGGAAAGGCGAAGCGATGTGTTATCTCACTATGGACCAATCCTTACAGAGAGACATCATCCAAGACACCACGAATCGAGACAACATGAGGAAGAGGAGGACGAACCCAAGTTCATGCATGAAGGTGGGTTAAGAGACGATCAAGGAGGAATCTTGGAAAGGCGAAGCGATGTGTTATCTCACTTGAACTCATAATTCCAGAGAGACACCATAGGAAACATCACGAAAAACGAGAGCATGAGGAGGAGGAGGAAGAACCCAAATTAATGCATGATGGTAGGCGGAGAAATGACCAACGAGAAATCTTGAGAGGAAAAAGCGATATGTCATCTCACAAAAACTCAGTCCTTCCAGAGAGCCACCTCAGAAAACATCACGAAAAACGAGAACACCACGATGAGAAAGATGATTCGCTCAAAATGCACAGAGGTTTGTAGAGAGGTGGTTAGCGAAATAAATAAAACAATATATAAATAGCGAAATAAATGAAAAACAGTACGTTCATTTTGAGGACAGTACCGCTGGGGTCGTCGCGGAAAACGAGAACACGTCGAAGCTGAAGAAAGTGCTTTGGAAATACAGTGAGGTTAGGTGGCATATCACAATGAGTTATGTTATCACAAGAAATCTATACTACAATTGCAAAAGTTGAAATTGGAATCTGTCGCCTTCTGTTTGAATTGCTATTGTCCCGTTCACTAGTTGTTAATAAACAAATTTCGTTTCATAAGTTTTTTCGACTAGAATGTGTTTAAGGAATTGAATCGTAGTTACCCCTGCGCCACTTCAACGACGTTCTCTCCTAGTTAACTTCGAACAGTTTGCTTAATTTGCACCGATACCTGTCTATTTTGGAAATGAATTTGCTATTAGTTATCGAAACGATTATTGATGAACTCATTTTCAATGGCTTCAAAATTTCACAAACACCCCTCTGACTGCCCAAGTTGCATGTGCCAATTCGGGACTTTTAGCACTTTTGGAGTGGGATTCCTCTCCTTCGAAATGTCTTCCAAGCCATATTGTTTCCACAGGGTGCTCGTGTCATAGGATGCTTCCTCTTAAATATTAGGTTGTCCCATAATTAGTGAATCACTTTACATTTATTGCTATAAAATTCCAAGAAAAATGGTGAAGGCGTGAAACATGTTTTGCCAAGTAGTACCCACATTGTCCTACCTGAGCAATTAGTCAGCCCATTCACATGTTGCCTTCCGAGGCAAACTTCAATTTTTCTGGAATCTTTCCCATGAAATCGCCGTGTTCCCTTTGACTTCCCAGAGTTGTTTTCAGTGATCATCCTGCGTACTCACCAGTTTGTGAAGTGGGTGGAGTGTGCTAGCAAATTCACAAGGAGCAGTAGCCTAGCTTAAAAGATTCGGGAGTTCTGACAGCAAAAGCCCAACCACCTCTATGTTCGACACTTCTGAGATTTAGTGGAGCACGAGAAGGGACCTTGCGCTGGGAACCGCCGCCCAGTAATACTAGAGTCAGTGAAGTAAGGCAAACGTCGACAGCATAATGGCGACGCGTTCTATCTGAAGGTAAAGCAAGACAAAGTCTGGTTTTTTTCTGAGGTCATTCGACCCCACCTTTCGGAAAATATTCATAAAAAATTGGAGACCTTTGGGCTAGCAGTTCTTCCAGCTCCACCGTGTAGCCCTATCCTCGTACCAGCGAAAGACAACCTAGTCTGACCTATACCATTCTTCTTCAGGAAGAAATTTTACGCTAAGTGACATGACCTCAAACCGACTTCCGATCTTTCTTCGATCAATAGCTCCTGGAATTCTAGAGAAAAGACAGCGACTAAATTTCCATGTATAGGCAATACATTGTAGATGACAGAGGTGTATGTTTGGATGAGCAAAGACTTCATATAAAAAAGAAAAAAATTAAAATTCAAAAAAATGCCCAAAGTGATTCACTAATTATGGGACAACCTATTAGGTTGGTGCTCCGATGATCGAGGTCAGGACAATTCAAGTGACTCACAGTAGGTTACTCATCTCCCTACTTTCCACGAAGGTGCTATTTATGACGAACGGAAACGGTATCCGAAGTTCCAAGCGAATACTTCAGTTTCCAAAAAATAAACATGCTCTTGAAAGTCACACATAGTAAGCCGAAAGGACCCACTAGCAGGGCCAAGAGTGCGCATCAAACCAGGGTGAATATCGGTCGAAGAAATCCTCGGCAGGAGGCTCGTATATGTGAGAGTCGGTTATTGGGACGTACACGTGGGGGTCAGCAACATCAGTACATCGTGGTGCAGATAGGAGTGAGGGGTATGTCGTTTGGCGCGGCCCTTCGCAGCAACTTTGCCATCGGGACGCATGGACCGTAATTGCCACACTCGCTCCTCCCATGTCTTGGCCGAACAACTCATCCACATCAGCTATCCGCTAGATTTACGTAAATGGCCGATCTACAGTGGAGCGCGCCAGAAGGCCACACGCATAGTCGGTCGTCAGCAAC